CCATGTAAATAGAAAACTTTTTCTTAAACCTTTGCTATTGACATGATGTTTCTTATAAAATTCTGAGGCACCCAGCACACTTCCAATCAATAATTGATCAATTTCTGCATTACCTTGTGCTAAAGGACATGGTAGACCCATTTGGGATCAGGTGTTGAATATATGGAACAGACCCTATTCCTGATTATTTCTTGAACCTGTATGAATAATGAAGTCAACTTTGTATTATCTGGTATAAATTTAGTGTTTTCAATATGCAAGACAATTCTTTCTGCATAGTGAACCAGTAACTATATTGAGAGGTTATTATCCTTAGTACCATGAGAATAGCATATAATTCTGCCTCTTGGTTCATTGTCTTTCCATAATTTTGAAATTTCATCAGTAGTAAAAGATACTATAATCTCTGCTGGGTCTATTCCTGCTAATTGACAGAGTCTCAATTTCCCTTTTATAATTAATTCAGAGATCATTTCCATATAAGTTTTTTAATTTTTTACTTGTTTATGTGGTAAAAAGATCAATTCTAAAATAATATCTTCCCTTTGCATAAAATTCCTTTGGGGGAATTCTGGAAGGCAATAAGACTAGAATACAATTAAGATTTGGATCCACCCTATCCACATGTGCCTCCTGTAATTTTTCTTGAAAGACAGTCAGTTCCTTTTTACCTTCAGCTGTTAATTCCCTGGGACAATTTAAGACTATGTCACCACCTAAGGTTTTGTTTAAATGAACTATTAGATCAGGTGTTACCACAACAGCTGGTTGTAGACTGGAAATGTCTACTAACAATCTTTGAAAGTCAGTAATCACCTGCAATTGGTCTTTCCTAATTTGTGCCTTTTGTGTTCTCTGTAAACCCATTTTATTACCTAGGTAATTGATAGAATCTCCTCTATTTTTTCGGAGCAATTTATGCTCCTCATTTTGGCAAAACTTTACTTCTTCAATTTTTTTAAAGTATGTATTTTTGAATCAGATAGCAGAATGTCATCTATGTAATGGTAAGGTATAGATTTAGGAAATTGCTTGCATATTATTATTATATATATTATATTATTTATTATTATAATATATATTATTTGAATCAGATAGCAGAATGTCATCTATGTAATGGTAAAGTATAGATTTAGGAAATTGATTGAATCAGATAGCAGAATGTCATCTATGTAATGGTAAGGTATAGACTTAGGAAATTGCTTGCATATTATTTCCAATGGCTGACTGAACAAAGTATTGGCACAGGGTGGGGCTTTTGAGCATTCCCTGTAGGAGGACGGTCCACTGGTATCTCCTAGTAGGCTGAGAAGTGTAAGAAGGCACTGTAAAGGCAAATTTTTCTTTGTCCTTTTCTTGTAAAGGTACAGTGCTGAAACAGTCTTTTAAATCAGTAACTATAAGAGACCATTCTTTTGGTAATAGAGAAGGTAGAGGAATTCCAGATTGTAGAGGGCCCATAGGTTGAATACCTTGTTGACAACTTTTAGATCTGTCACCATTCTCCATTTACCAGATTTCTTTTTTACAACAAATACAGGAGAATTCCAAGGGCTGGTTGATTCTTCAATATGGTAAGCATCTAGTTGTTCCTGTACCAACTGTTCTAAAGCCTGCAATTTGTCTTCTGTTAAAGGCCACTGTTTAACCCATATTGGTTTTTCAGTTAAGCCTTTTAAAGGTAGGGCCATTCATACCTCTAAAGGTTTGCTAGTTCCTTTATGTTCTTGTACCGCCTAAATGGCTGGTGACCTTTGTATATAGTACTTTACAATATTCTTCCCAGAAATATGAGTTTCTGAGACTGCAGGAATGTTAACCTGAGTATTCCATTGCTGCAGCAGGTCATGATCTCATAAAGTCACTGTGACATTAGCCACATACAGCCTTAGCCTTCCTCTCTGTCCTTCTGACCCTATGCATTCCACCCATCTTGTGCTTTGTTTCTCTTGAGGTAGGGTTCCAATTCCTAGGGATTGAACATTTGCCTCTTGAAGAGGCCAATTTGGATGCCATGAGTCTGGAGTAATGATACTCATGTCTGCACCCATGTCTATTAAACCCACAATTACAGTGCCATTTATACGCACTCTTAGCTTTGGTCTTTGGTAATTTATAGAAGTCTGCCAGATTATACTTTTCCTATTTCCTATTGGAATTTTTGATTTATCCTTCATGTTTATTCCATCATACAGAACAGTATGGTTTTTTTTTTTTTTTTTTGGTGAGACATGTCCTCCACAGTGACTGGGAGTGACTGGACCACTTTTGACTTGGGGGGCTGCAGGAGATACCCAAGGAGTTTCCTGATGGCTTTGGGTTACCTTTTCTGTCTTTTGTTGATCTGAATTCATTAATCCAATTTAGGTCTTTGCCACACTTCCTGCATAATCCAGAAGGTTAATACCTTTTATTTTTATTATTCACAACAGAAACATTATTTCTAGGAATTTCTTGTCTCCAATCTTTTCTTAGCTGTCCTATTCTACCACATTTAAAATATTTGGCATTTTGATGTCTCCTCACACCTTTAGAAATTGCTTCTCCTACCCATGATTCAGTATTATAGTCAAATGTCTCAACAATCACCGTGTGCAGGATCCATTCATTCATTGGTGCAGATCTAACCTTTAAAGGCCCAAGTATGGTTTTGCATTCTAAGTTGGCATTTTCAAAAGTCAGAGATTTATGTTACTCCTATTTGTACAGCCTTAGTTAATTTTTGTAAAAAATCACTAAAGGGTTCTGTCTGGCCCCATTTAACCCTGGTATATGTTCCAATTTGTTTTTCTTGTTCTTGAATCCTGTCCCAAGCATTTAAGGCTGCTTTGTGGCATGGGGGCAAGATTTATTCATTGTAAAGAACTTGAGCCTGTGGGTGAGCATAAGTGCCCTCTCTAAGAATTTGACCTTGGGAAGACTCAAGTCCTATTGCTTTTGCCTATTCTAAAATTTCTTCTGTCTAATAGCATTTCTACAGCAATTGGGACCCATCTTTCAGGACTGTTGAAACTAATTGAAGCCAGTTCTGTGGATTGGCCTTAGTGTTAGAAGCCCATGTCTTTACCATCTCTCTAACAAATGCTGAATGCAAAGCCATAAGTTACTACTGCTTGCTTAATAACTTTTAGATCATTCATTCCTATAGGTATCCATCTACCTTCTTTGGATCCTTTTGGGCATTTAGAACTTGTTGCTTTTTCAGAGTTGATCACAGGGTAGGAAGCTAAAACCGTGGGTAAGTCATTTCTGATAGGTACTGGTGATGTTGAATCCTGTCCTTGTGCCTTCTTTCCCTGCTTATCAGCTCCAATAATTTCCTCAATTTTTTCAAATCTTTTTACTACTGTCTTTTGTAAAGCTTGAATCTTCCTGTCCTGTATATATTTCTAGTGATTTCACTGAGGCATCTAGTCTCTGGTCCTCATTCTGCACATGTGATTCCAAGGTCTGAAGTTTTTCCTTTAAAGATAACACCTCATCCTTGGACATTATTTTTGGATAGTGTGCAGATTGCCATCCTGGAGAGAAACTCTATCTGCTAGCCTATCATAAGTTTTTACCAGATTTTGATTGTCAAATTCGACAGTATGAATTCTTTCAGATAATATCTCAGTACCCTTTGACATGGATTGATTTTTGTTTGTCAAAATAATGTTATCCTTTTCAATAGTATTAATTTTTCAGGTAACTTGATATTCAATGATATTAATCCTGTCAGCTAGCTGTTCATTACTAGTCTGTAAAGACTGTGTCATTTCCAAAAGTGCCTCATTCTTGGCTCTGTTCACACCATTCTCTTAAGGATATAATATGCAAAAGAAAACTTAGTCCCTATATCCAATAAATGGATGTATCAGAAAAACCATATAAGCCTTACAGAATACAATCCATGGCATAAATAAAAAGATCACTAAATTCCTGGACTAACTTTCAAGTTTATTGATTTATTTAGTAATCAAATAGTTATCTTTATTATGAAATTTTGGTAAATTGTTGAAGATGTAATAATCTTTATTGTCTGACAAGTATTGCGGTTGCAGCCACATGGCGAAGAGATGCTATGGCTGTAGTGTGATCGGTGGCAGCTCGAACAGTCTTGCCTGCTGCTTTTGTTTTGGGTATCTTCTTCTTTTGATTTCTGTCTTACTGACTGGAGACAGAGTGTTCTCACTGAAAAATAACCTCACCTTTTTGGCTGGGGTTTCGCCAGTGAGCTCTTGGATTAGAAGAATATTATTAAAATGTCATCATCACTGTCTAAAGCAATCTACAGGTTCAGTGTGTAAAATACCAATGGTATCCTTCACAGAACTAGAATACTCTTAAATTTTATAGGGAATCCCCAATAAACAAAACCAAAACCAATCAGAGTATAATGTAGACTGTGGGGTTTTCTTCTATACATATTTTTTTTTTGTAGTTTTATTTTTCTTCTTCTTTTTCTTTTTGGTTTTTCGAGACACAGTTCTTCTGTTCAACAGCCCTAGCTGTCCTGGAAATAGCTCTTGTAGACCAGGCTGGCCTTAAATTCAGAGATCCACCTGTTTTTACCTCTCAAGTACTGGGATTAAAGATGTACAACATGACATCCTATCCACAGCAACATTCATTTTTATTAACAGCCATTTTATTTATGAGACAGATATTTTATGTGTGAGAATGAAAGAAAATCAGGTTTCAGAGAGTAGAGCAGGTAGAATTTATACATTCACATCAGTGCTGCCTAAATGATGGAGTTGGGAAGATGTGTATGTATATGCTGCCATTGCTCAAAGTAGTCGTTACAGGATTTTATTTGTATTTACACAAAGATGTATAGTAAACTTGAAAAAACCAGTAAATTCATTGAATCATTTAATTTTTGCATTTGCATAACAGTGGTTTTCAGAATGTTTTTGGCTTGGTGTAGGTTCAGTAACAGAAGGTTTCAGGCAAATAAGTTAGTTTGCTAGAAATGAATTGTCTTTAAATAATGATCATTGTTTTTCCTCCTCTAGTCATCAGATAAGCAGCGAGCCCTAGAAGAAACCAAAGCCTACACAACCCAATCCTTAGCAAGTGTTGCGTATCTGATAAACACCTTGGCCAACAATGTCCTACAGATGCTGGATATCCAGGCATCCCAATTACGGAGGATGGAATCTTCAATCAATCATATTTCACAAGTGAGACCTTGTTACTTTTCTATTTGCCTATGAGTAACACACAGCCTGTTGACTGCCTTTGTTATGCATGTGCTGTTTGGATAATAAAACTTGATATTGTATTGTTTTATGATTCTTTTTGTGATGTTATTACTTTTATAGTTTGATAGCAAAGTAAATTTGATGGATTTTATTAAAACTCAGTTGCCAAGGTAACTTAATCACTCCTGAAGTGAAAATTTACCTTTTTTTTTCCTAGAAAAAAAAATCTTCTGACAGGTTTTATTATGTCTTTACAGCTTTACAAATAGACTTGTTTGCTTGGTGGCTAATTTAAGTTTTCTCTTGTTAGGGTTTTTTTTTAAGCCCCTTTTTGGTGACTGTCTTAGTCCATGTTCTGTTGGTGTGAAGAGATACCATGACTAAGGCAATTTTTTTTTTTTGTTTTGTTTTTTGAGACAAGGTTTCTCTGTGTAGCTTTGGAGCCTGTCCTCCCGTCCTGGAACTAGCTCTTCTAGACCAGGCTGGCCTCGAACTCACAGAGCTCCACCTGCCTCTGCCTCCCAAATGCTGGAATTAAAGGTGCCCGCCACCACCATCCGGCTGATCATGGCAACTCTTATAAAGGAAAGCATTTAATTAGGGCTGGCGTATAGTTTAGTCCATTGTTACCGTGGCAGGAAGCATGTTGCCAAGCAGACAGACAGGGTAGAGGAGAGTAACTGATGATTCTTTTTTTGTTGTTTGATTGTTATTTTGGTTTTTGAGACAGGGTTTCTCTGTGTAGCTTTGGAGCCTGTCCTGAACTTGCTCTCTAAACCAGTATGGCCGCAAACTCACAGAGCTCTGTCTACCTATGTTCCCTGAGTGCTGGGATTGAAGGTGTGGGTCACCACTGCCTGGCAAAAATTGTGTATCTTGATCCATAAGCAGCAGGCAAAGAAACCTCTGGGCCTGGCTTCAGTATTTTTGAAACCTCAAAGTCTGCCCTAGTGACACTTCCTCCAACAGGGACAGACCTACTCCAACAAGGCCACTCCTCCTAATCCCTGTCAAGTATTGCTACTCCTTAATGAATAAGCATTCAAATATGAGACTGTGGGGTTATTTCTATTTAAACTACCATAGTAGTGTTGGGAATTGAACTTAGATTCTTGAACCTGCTAAGCTTTATTGCTGTGTTAAACTCCCAGCTCTGAGGAGACAGGTATTTGCTGTGCTTGGCTTTTACGAAGGTCCTGGGAATCTGAAGTCAGTTATCTTCTTTTATAGAAAGCACTTTGCCACTGAGCCATCAAGCAGCTCCTAAAGCTTCCTAAAATTATGCTTAAAACAACCAGTTTAATACAGTTTGATCTTTAGATTGGGAGAATATTATTTTGTGCCAAGAATTGACCCTAAAGGCCTCCTGTATTCTGAGTGTATATTCTAGGACCAAATTGTCTCTAGTTCGGAAAACTTCGGTAAAATAAAGTTTTTTTGTGTGTGTGTGTTTAGAAAGCAGATACTTAGGAACTACTCCAGAACAGTAATGGCAAATTTAAACGGAACAAATTGTAAATATTTTAGGTATTGTGGGCCACAGTCATCTTATTGTACTACTTTTTTAAACACATGTATCTTTTTTTTTGGGGGGGGGATAAGATTTTACTGGGTATATTATTTAGGATGCGTGTGTATACATCCTTGTGTTTTTGACAACTTGGTAAAAGTGTTAAACCCCTTCTTAGTTTGTGGGCTGTATAAAAATATGTTCTGTGGCCCTAGGCCTAGACTATCTGACAGACTTTTTTTGGGAAGCAGGAATTTTGAAGAATTGTTCTTCCTTGTCTTGGCAAAGTTTGTCAGTTGCTTTCTTGTGTGTTCTGCTTGTCCAGTTTGGACAATATACTGTCAGCTGGTGGACCACAGTCTGATTCTGAGATTCCTGGAGGCAGGATTGCCATTGTAGACTGAGGTAGAGTTAAGAGCTAGTGGCTGGCTGTTTTTGCTTTTCTGACTTTCAGGTTGAACTGCAGTATCTTTCGCTGGGTTTTTATTAATCAAGTCCTGGAAAATTAGCTGCTGCTCAGTCTTGGTGTGATGGGAAGGTGCGGGGCTTCTCTGAGGCTGGACCGTCTTGGCTAACTACTTTGAAGATGTCCTTAGCATTTTGTAGTCAAGGGTGATATTTGGGTGGTGTTTGTCTGCTTAGGCTTCTAGCATATTTCCCATCAATAGCTAGTCAATTTCATCATTACTTTGTGCTAGAGGGCCTGGTAGACCTGTATGGGATCTGATATGTGTTAGATACAAGGGATGATTTCTATTTCTGATTATTTCTTGTAATTGAATAAATCACAAAGTTAATTCTGAATCATTTGGAATAAGTTCTATTGTTTCAATATGTAAAATAACTTTCTGTATATTGAGTCAGTAACTATATTAAGAGGTTTGCAAAAATCTAATAATACCATGAGAATAGCATATAATTCTGACTTTTGAACAGAATCCTAGGGCTTTGAGCTACTTTACTTAGATTTCCTGACTTACAGCCTGCCTTTTCTGATTTATTTGCATCAGCATAGAATGTAGGGGCTTTAGAATTGGTGTTTGCTATGTAGAATTGGTGTTTGCTGTGTAGAATTGGTGTTTGCTGTGAGGAAGGATCCAATTAGTTCTCTTTCTTTTGGAATATTTGTTGCTAATCTCTTGCAAAAAAAAATCTACTGCAAGCTCTTCACCAGTATTCATTTTCTGTCCATATGAGGTAATTAGTTAAAGGCACCACAATTTCTGCTTGGTCTATTCCTGATAATTGATGAAGTCTTAATTTCCCTTTCAGAATCAATACAGAATCTTTCTAAATAGCTCTTTAAGTTTTTTGCACTGTTTGTGTGGCAGAAATGTCCATTTTAAAATATTATCTTCTCTGTGCGTGAGAATTCCTGTGGGAGAATACATAGAAGGTAAAATAACCAGAATACAATCAAGCTCTAAATATAAACAATCCACACGTGTATCTTTTTTTTTTTTTTTAATTTTTTTTTTTAATAATTTTTTTTATTAAGAAAAGAAGAAATAAAAACATAAACAAAAAACAAGTTTCCACCTCCTCCCAGCCTCCCATTTCCCTCCCCCTCCTCCCACCCTTCTCCCCCTCCTCCCACCCTTCTACCCCTCCCCCCACTCCTCTCCCCCTCCCTCTCCAGTCCACAGAGCAGTCCAGGTTCCCTGCCCTGTGGTAAGTCCTAGGTCCTCCCCCCTCCGTCCATATCTAGGAAGGTGAACATCCAAACTGGCTAGGCTTCCACAAAGCCAGCACATTAAGTAGGATCAAAACCCCGTGCGATTGTCCTTGGCGTCTCATTAGCCCTCATTGTTCGCCATGTTCAGAGAGTCCGGTTTTATCCCATGCTTTTTCGGTCACAGTCCAGCTGGCCTTGGTGAGCTCCCAGTAGATGAGCTCCACTGTCTCAGTGGGTGGGTGCACGCCTCGTGGTCCCGACTTCTTTGCTCATGTTCTCCCTCCTTCTGCTCCTCATTGGGACCTTGGGAGCTCAGTCCAGTGCTCCAGTGTGGGTCTCTGTCTCTGTCTCCATCCATCACCAGATGAAGGTTCTATGATGATATGCAAGATATTCGTCAGTATTGTTCTCGGATAGGGTCATTTCAGGTTCCCAATCCTCAGCTACCCAAGGAACTAACTGGGAACCTCATGTTGAGCACTTGGGAGCCCCTCTAGGGTCAAATCTCTTGCTCACCCTAAAGTGGTTCCCTTAACTAAGAATTGTGGTTCCGTGCTCCCCTATCCACCTTTCCTTTATCCCAATTCTCCTGATTCCCCAAATCCCCCCTCCTTCCCTTCTACCTTTTCTCTCCCCATCTCCCCTTACCCCCATCCCATCCCACCCCCAAGATCCTAATTTTCTCCCCGGCAATTGGGTCTACTTCCCTTAGCCAAGAGGATAACTATATGTTTTTCCTTGGGTTCACCTTCTTACTTAGCTTCTTTAGGTTCACCTATTGTAGACTCCGTGGCCCTAATTTATGGCTAGAAACCAATTATGAGCGAGTACATCCCAAGTTCATCTTTTTGGGTCTGGGACACCTCACTCAGGATAGTGTTTTCTATTTCCATCCATTTGCCTGCAAAATTCGAGAAGTCATTGTTTTTTACCGCAGCGTAGTACTCTAGCGTGTATATATTCCATACTTTCTTCATCCATTCTTCCATTGAAGGGCATCTAGGTTGTTTCCAGGTTCTGGCTATTACAAATAATACTGCTATGAACATAGTTGAACAAATGCTTTTGTCATATGATAGAGCATCTCTTGGGTATATTCCCAGGAGTGGTATTGCTGGGTCCAGGGGTAAGTTGATCCCGAATTTCCTGAGAAACCGAAACACTGACTTCCACAGTGGTTGCACAAGATGGCATTCCCACCAGCAATGGATGAGGGTACCCGTTCCTCCACAGCCTCTCCAGCAAAGGTTATCCTTGGTGTTTTTGACTTTAGCCATTCTGACAGGTGTAAGATGATATCTCAAAGTTGTTTTGATTTGCATTTCCCTGATTGCTAAGGAAGTTGAGCACGACTTTAAGTGTCTTTTGGCCATTTGAACTTCCTCTGCTGAGAATTCTCTGTTCAGTTCAGTGCCCCATTTTTTAATTGGGTTAATTAGCATTTTAAAGTCTAGTTTCTTGAGTTCTTTATATATTTTGGAGATCAGACCTTTGTCTGTTGTGGGGTTGGTGAAGATCTTCTCCCAATCAGTAGGTTGCCTTTGTGTCTTATTGACTATGTCCTTTGCTTTACAGAAGCTTCTCAGTTTAAGTAGGTCCCATTTATTCAATGTTGCCCTTAATGTCTGTGCTTCTGGGGTTATACATAGGAAGCGATCTCCTGTGCCCAGCTCCTGTAGGGTACTTCCCACTTTCTCTTCTATCAGGTTCAGTGTGTTCGGGCTGATATTGAGGTCTTTAATCCATTTGGACTTGAGTTTTGTGCACGGTGATAGATAAGGGTCTATTTTCATT